CATGAAGGAGCCCAAAACAAAATCAAGCGGGCATTCACCATGCCCTCTACCCAAGCAGACACACTGGCGCCCACCTCTTGCTGAACTTCGCCTGGTCAGGATTGCTTCCTGACGTCCATCCTGGGAGCCAGACACTGCTTCAGACCTGCTCCCCTTGTCCCCATGCACACACCTGTGCACGCTCTCCTTCGGAGCTTGCCAGCTTGATTGCATTAAGCCGCAGCACGCAGGTTTTCCACCATTATCATATTTGCAAATGAGGGAGGGCGATCCAATGACCTGTAAGTAAAGCCATATTTGCAAAGCCCTGACCTTCGGGGTAAACACTTTGTACAGGTCCCAGGGCCTCTGACCAACAGTCACTAACAAACAGAGGTGGACTGTGGCTGGATTTATTTTTCTTCTCTTTTGGAGGGGCTGGCTGGCAGTGGTTGTAGGGCGGGGGAGGCATTTGGCTCTTGGGTTTTGGCTCTTTGCAGTGCAGCATTTACGTAGGACCAGCTGTTGGGCTCTAGCAGTGCATTGCTGAGCATTTGGAAATCCACAGATTTCTAAACCATCCATTGATTTTGGGCCTCTCCATTTTACGTGGGTGGTGATGTGGACAGGCCCCCGACTCTCCTACAGCAAACAGCACAGAAAGCTCCAGGCACATCGGGCTGAACAAGCAACCGAGTTAGTGATGAAGAGGTTTATGAAGAGGGGTGTTGGTTGTAGCCGTGTTGGTCTAAGGACATAGGCAGGCAAGCTTCTTTGGATAAATGTGATCTCTTTTATTAGACTAACCAAAAGGGTTAGGAAGGAAATGGAACAATTTGGGGTCAAATCCCCATAAGATGATGCTAATGCCATCCTGCCTCACACAGGTGTGACCCTCCAGATGTGCAAAGTGCTTCCACATGCTTTCATGAACCACGCGGTACCGGCGCACAAAGTTAGCTCCAGTCCCTCCGCACTGCAATCTGCATTGCTGTTGTGGATAAAGTGGCCCCTCATCCCACTCTGAAAACTATAGTTCAAACCTGCCTTACCATTGCAAATATTACGCAGCAGTCCTCAGAAACAAGCCATCTTCTGGTTGGTTTGCCGGGCACACAAGAGCCCCAGCTTATGGATCATACAGAAATGCAATGTATTGCTTTAAGAAGTAAGTGCCTCTCTACAAAACCTTTCCAGAATTCAGGCTTATTTTGCTCCTTCCGAATTGCAGCGGCAGAACTCCCACTGATTCCAGCAAGAGCAAGACAGAGCCGTTAGATTACATTAATCACCACGTCCAGTGCATGGCCAAATCCATTTCACAACGCTATTTTCATTTCTATTTGTTTTCGAAATGATTCAAAACACCAGTCTAAATATCACAGGGAGAATCTTAAAAAAAATTAATAAATCAAACCACACCATTTCGATCCCTTTGCGTGGCGAAACACCCTAAAATGCCATTGCCAAGCTAACGGTGGGAATTATTTTCATCTTTTAAAAATCCAATTCCCCGGCACTGGGATTAGCGGTAATTAGTTTGCTATTTACATCTAGGACACAAGGCAAACCAGTCAGGAGGAAAGAAACAGCTACAAGCACAAGCAGCACAATAAATGGAAAATCCCAGCGAGGAAAAAATGCAGTGTCCCTCTAACAGAAAACCACATATCATTTGGCATACATTATAGCAACATAAAGTTATATGACTTCCCGTTAGCTCTAAGCATTAGGGTCACTGGTTTGCAAGCATTTCTGGCTATACGTGGACGTGCTCACCTAAGCGGCCCCATAGGGCACCGTGAAAGGACTGCTGTGCACAAGGGAACCAGGGAGTCTCTACGGGCAGAGCCAGGGTCTAAAGAGAAACGGCTCCTCACATTTGGATTTATCTCCAAAATCTGGAGACCACGTGTTGCATCCTTCCCAGTTCGAGGGATAAAAGAGAGAGAAACAGGTTGAAACTTTTGCCTGCAAAAGCCCTCTCCTTCCCGCCCCAACTACATGTTGGACTACCAAAAACTGAACATATTTTTAACACCAATTTACCCCGCTCCCATCATTCAGGCCACCCTATCAGCCTCCAGCCACAGAACAAACCCTGTCTAGTTAGCCCTGCACAGCACCCATTTCTAATCTGGGTTGCACCACGTGCTAAATCTGAGGTTGTAGGAGTGGATTTTATTCTGCGAGTCACAGTTTTCCAGAATAAATATTGCAAAATAGATATTGCAAAAAAGTTAGGAGAAGGGTGTGGGGAGCAAAAGAGTCCTCGACGCAGGCCTAGAAGAAGGGGCGGTTAGTCTTTTAGTCAAATAGCAAGAGGCTGTAACCAGCTGATGGCAGCTTGAAGCACAGAGGTGCGTGTGGCTTGGGGGCGAGCTTGGCCTCCAAGCACTTGCCAGGCTCGGAGATGGGAGGGAAGAAGGGAAGTCACTTCAAATACGACACGGCGCTGTGCTTCCTTCCACCAGCGAGCCTCCAAGCAGGAAGGCTGCAACTCCCTGCATGGCCCGAGGTGAGCAAAAAGAAATGCTGTGGAAAGGAAGGACCTGAGCTTGGGCCTCCGAAAGTGCCCCAGTGTGGAGCGACTTGTCACCTCCGCAGCGCCTCTTCCTCGGTTTCTTTTAAATACCCGAGGCTTTGCAAAGCCCTGCAGCGTCTCCCTAAAGCAGCGCGGCGCTTGGTGGTGTGGTTAAGGGAAAACCAGAAGGCCAGGACCCCTCTGCTCACATCTTTTCTACCGTCCAGCTCTGCAAAGCAGCCTGTGCACTGGGTATTGGGCCGGCTCCTGCCCTCCTCACCTGTGCCCAAGAGAAGAGGTCCTGCTGGAGCCCCTCAGCCTGCACAACCCCTCCCATCAAGACAGCATTTTGCACACTAGTGTCTGACTGCCAAAGTGCCAGCAACAGAAATCCAGGTGGGTGGCAGAGAGGGGGCACTAAGGGGTATTCATCTGTGGGCTTACTCCCCTAACATAGCTTCTTCTCTCCCCTTCAGCATGCAGGCTCCAGAGTTTATCGCTGCAGGGTCCAACCTCCCCCCCTGCCCTTTCCAGGGCCTCACCCCTGCCAC